TATATATATTACTGTATATAAAACTTAAAAAAAGCACTCAAAGCAAGTCTTAGATTCAATGGTGGGCCGATTGGATGTGGTCAGCGGGCCGCTTGTTGCCCGTCCCTGGCATAGACAATGAGCTAAAAACTAGTGTTGTTGCAGTTTTGTCTAGTCAGTAATGTTTTCTTACGATATTAAGCAAATTAAAAACATGTATTTTATATATATTTCTTTTCAAATACCTTGAGTCCAAATAAGCAGGCTGTTCTTAGTGCATAACTTCCCTTGGATGGGTTTTTCTGTTGTTATAGTAACTCTTTTATTGCTAGAAACTGTGCTGCGTCCTGCTTTTTTTAACGTCCCCTGTGTGCACTTCTTTGAAGAAAGAGCTTCAGCTGGCAAGCGTGTTGATTACTTTCTCTTTGAGAGCATTTGCATGCCACAGGAAGCTTCGGCGTTTTCGTTCTTTTTTTTTTTTTCTTCTAATGCTATGCAAAACTCGGAGAGTTGAGACGTGAATCTGTGCACATTGGTCCCATTGCAGGGTGATCTGCAAGCTCCTGGCCTCGAAGAGCGAAAGCATACGAGTTCAGGCGCTCAAAGTTCTCGGCTACTTCCTGAAGCACCTCGGTCACAAGTAAGTCTGTCTCTATTTCTGTGTTTTTCCTCTTGTATGATTTTTTTTCAGGAAAGAATGCATCTTTGATACCCGTACATATTTTTCTTGAACACCCAGGCCTTGTTTTGTTTTGTATTTTTAGCCCTGAAACCAAACAGAAATATTGCATCAGTAAGGGGTGATTGAGAGGCTTTGCATCCTGAGTATAAACTGAGGAAGCACAGCATCACCGTCTCCCACGAGCCTAGAACAGAGCCGTGTGTTTGTGTGGGAGAAAGTTCTTATCGTCATATCCGTGCAGAATAATCGTTGTGACAGCGTGCACTTGCAGGAAGGTGAATGCTGATGAACAGCAATGAATGATGAGAGCAGGTTCACCTGAGCCCCGCACCATAACTGACCCACCTACATCAAATCTGCTCCAATCAAACATCTCCTGGTTTCTACATTTACATATTGCCTGTTTGTGTAACATCAGTGTGTTTAACAAGCAATTGTAATTTAAAAATTGAAGATGTTAGACTTAATTATTGACGAACAAATCCTGTCCCGCCTAATGAGGATAAATTGATAATTTCGGGACATCCGAAGCAATTTTCTGCCAGTTTGTTTCTTAAAGTAATAAACAAAAATGGACAGCGTTTCAAAGAGTCAGATTTACATTTTATCTCTAGGCTGTTTTCTATCGGCAGCTAGTTACAAAAACACATTTGATTCAACTTCTTTAGGTCTGTCCATGAAAATGCCAAAGATAATGCAGTTTGACAGGCAATAAAAAAGGGTTTCTAGCATCAACAAGGTGATTTCCAAAGAGCTATTAGCTAAGAACTCGGCTTATATCATCGTGGTATGCAGCGTGTCTGAGAAAGAAGTGAAGAAAATATGGAGGACAAAAAAGTGGCAAGCCTAAGAACAAATATTTTATAACTGAGAAACAAAATCTGAAAGTCAAGGTGTTAATAGGTTCTTGGCAAAAGCCTTGTTTGTGCAAAAATACATTCTTTTAAAGAATTAAGCTTTTATTATGCCTTTTTCTAAACTAAAATGATGATAAATTGCTGCTTGTAAAAGTGAATACATAATAAATGAGTCAAACCGTTTATTTTTAAGTTGTCTCGACACATCGCTTGCATTAGGGGATTTTTTTATTTT